ACCCCAGTGAGAGAAATAAAGGGTTAAGTTTGACATTCCAACCACCCAAAGAAGGCTGGAGTGTACAATGGCTGAAACATTGTAATAAATATGGTGACAAAGATGATGACAATAATCCGAATAATGTAAATAATGTACACTTATGTTTAGTATCAGAAAAAAAATGAAATTTCTAGGACACATTATGAGGAAAAAGGACTTTGAGAATTTGACACTTACAGGACATATCAAAGGTGAGAGACAGAGATAGAGACATCAAGTAACTTACGTAATGAGCCTGAGCAAATGGATGGCAGACCTTAGTCTGGGAGGGATAGTAAGTGGTCAAACATTACTACAAAGGAAAGGAAGTTATGAAAACCCATCATCACTCACTTCCTGAAGGGATGTGGCACATTAAAAAAGAAAAATGTGTAACAAACACACCCACAAATAGGATCCAATCATTACAATACAGATCAATAATTTTCAATAAATCCATTGTATAGAGTGTCCAAAAAAATTTGACATCATTTCACAGGCCAATAATTTCGGCAATTCTTGTTGAAATAACATCAAATTTTCACAGAATGTCTAGAAACAGATCAAGATTTTATATTTAATGGAAGAGGACAGTACATGTTTATCTCAATGAGAATCTGCCAGAGATATGGATCGGGTGTGGTGGAGATGAAGACAGATTTCTGATGAAATGGCCACCACCGTCACTGGACCTGTTCTCGTATGATTTCTTTTTATGGGAATATATGAAGGGACTGGTCTATGTCCCCCCCTCTTCCTGCTAGCATTGATGAACTTAAGCAGAGAATCACTTCCACACTGGATAATGTTACCGGAGACATGCTACAGCATGTTTGGCAAGAGCTTAACAACCGACATGACGTGTACCATTTCACAGGCGGTGCACATATTGAACACTTATAAAATCTGTCCCATAATAAACTTCTGATGTTCAACTCTTAAACTGTTCAATTTCATTGAGCTAGACTGACTAGTTTTCACAATAATTGCTTTTAAAATGATGTCAAATTCTTTGGATACCCTGTATTTTTTGATGGAATTTTTGTTAGAGAACTCTACTTCCTTTTCCAGCAAATCCAGTCAGTTCCTCACTGAACTTTGGTGCAAGACATTGAAAAATCTGGCAAGCCATTGTAAAAATCAATTAAAATTTATCACCTTTGGTCTGACAGTTCTAGTGCAAATCTTTAGCAATTTTCTTCTGAGGGAATTTTTTTTTAACTGGAGTTTTTTTTGTTTCTTCTTGCCGAACTCATAAAGAGACTCACTGAAACAATTTTAATTAGATGTGGCAGACACACCATCAAAATGCAAAAGTAATTAAAACAATAATCTAGCCAATGCAGAAACTTCCCATTTACAATAGAAACAAAACTTCCTTTCTTTCACACTTGTCTAATTTCTTTTATATTAATATTCAAGTTGTGATTTGAGTTTAACAGACAGAGAAGAGTGAATGTCTGTGAATGGCTTTACGTTGCTTACTCTCAACATATATGAAACTGCAAAACTTCATTTTTTACCACCAAAACTAATGCCACATGGGCAAAAATTCTTCTGGTAGGAGGTGATGCCACCCTTCCTGCACATGCAACAGGGATCCTCATTTACAGCTAAATACATTCTTATTGCTCAAAATAGAGTCCAATAGTGTTATAAAAACCTCAGAGAATTCCAGTAAGATATCTTTAATCATTTTTAAGATATGATGGTTTACTGTCTTTAAACTATAATCTTCCATGATTCTCTCACGTACATTCATATCTGCTCATAAATCATAAAATTGACCTTGCTAACCGAACGTTCCTCTGTGGCCCAATCAGTTAAAGACATGCCAGGCTATATGACACTTCCGTATAGGATACAGATTCAATTCCTGTCAGAGGACGAATATTTTCTATGAAAATTTCTCGGACAATTCATACCATATAAAAATGTTGTTTAATACTGTTTATTATAAACAGAGCATTTACTTAGATATTTGTATGTATAAAAAAGAATGTATAAACATAAAAATGTCTTAAAAATATATATATATATATATATATATATATATATATATATATATACTATATACTGGGTGTAACAACAAAAATTGTCCAATTGTTAAATTAAGCTTTGAATCATTGTATCTTAAAAATGATTAAAAATATCTTACTAAAATTCTCTGAGTTTTTTATAAAAAAATATTGGACTCTACTTTGAACAATAAGAATGTATTTAGTATCTGTCTATATTTCTGAGATGAGGTATTATGTACATTATTTACATTATTCGGACTATTGTCCTCATCTTTAAATCCATATTTATCACAACATTTGTAAATTTATGCGGCTCGGCCTTCTTCAGGTGGTTGGAATGCCAGACTGAACCCTTTATTTCGCTCACTGGGGTAGACTGTTTCTAGTTCCACGTGCCATGTTTAATGGATGTCAGTTATCAGTTATCTCCTGTTTTCCCTCCTCAGTTCTCCACATTAATCAGGTATTGAACTCACACTCTTTGGGTCTGTCACTGGGTCTAAAATGATTTGCCTTTATCCACTATTAAAGACGTTGGTTTATGACAGACCCAAAGATTAAGGAGAGTTTAATAAGACAATTGAACAGGGTTAACAGGAGATATAATTATTACAAGGATGAAAATGGGTGATGGAACTAAAAAAAATTCCCCCAGTGATACATACTGTGGGTGACAGCTCGACATTCCAACCACCTGAAGAAAGCCGGAGCATACAATGGTCAAAACATTGCAATAAATATGGCGACAAAGATGAGGACAATAGTCTGAATAATGTAAATAAGAATGTATTTAGTTGTAAATGATGATCCCTGTTGCTGTTGTGACCTCCTGATCCAATTTTCCTCTCTTCTGTTTCCTCTTTTTTAAACTTATTCACCATTCTCTTGATGGTTCTTGAATCGACTTTGAAAATGGAAGCCAGACTATGAATATTGGTAGCATTACTGAAGGCCTTAATGATCTTTTTCCTCTCATCATTGCTCATGTTCTCTTTCTATCTGAATGACTCAATGAATGAGTTTTTCAGTGATTCTTATGACAAATGATGCCAAGATGGCTAAACGTCTTTACCTGAAAAGCTGGAAAAAAAACTCAACATTTTTGTGGTATTTTAGATATTAAACACACACACACATATATTATATATATATATATATATATATATATATATATATATATATATATAAAATTGAAAATTGAAGTCAACACTAAATTGAAATGATGACCCCTCTTCCTGTTGTGACCTCCTGATCCATTTTTCCTCTATACTATTTCTTCTTTTTTTTAAACTTAGTCACCGTTTTCTTGATAGTTTTTGTATGGACTTTGAAGATGGAAACCAGAATATGAATGTTGGATATTACGGAAGGCCTGAATGATCTTTTCCTCTTACCATTGCTCAGCTGGGAAGACAGTGAAGCTGACACAAAACGATTTTAACCTGTTCTATTTCTACCTGGATAACTCAAAGAGTTTTTCAGTGATTCTCATGACAAATGGTGTCAAGATGGCTAAATGTCTTATCTGAAAAGCTTAAAACAAGAAACTCAATTTATTTAGTATTCTTTTTAGATATTAAACATTTTGTGGGATAGACAATTTATATCTCAATCTATTACATGACTTGGACAATTTTGTGTAGCGAGAGAGAGAGATAGACAACAGATCGATCTATATTAATTGACTGGGATAGATAGATAGATAGATAGATAGATAGATAGATAGATAGATATGAAGAAATTAAATAGATAGATGAATATGAAGAAATTAAGATAGATAGATGATATGGAAGAAAATTAAGATAGATAGATAGATATGAAGAAATTAAGATAGATAGATAGATATGAAGAAATTAAGATAGATAGATAGATATGAAGAAATTAAGATAGATAGATAGATAGATAGATATAAAGAAATTAAGATAGATAGATAGATAGATATAAAGAAATTAAATAGATAGATATGAATAGATATAAAGAAATTAAGATAGATAGATAGATATAAAGAAATTAGATAGATATAAAGAAATTAGATAGATAGATATAAAGAAATTAAGATAGATAGATAGATATGAAGAAATTAAGATAGATAGATATGAAGAAATTAAGATAGATAGATATGAAGAAATTTAGATAGATAGATAGATATGAAGAAATTTAGATAGATAGATATGAAGAAATTAAGATTAGATAGATAGATAGATAGATAGATAGATATAAAGAAATTAAGATAGACAGATAGATATGAAGAAATTAAGATAGATAGATATGAAGAAATTAAGATAGATATGAAGAAATTAAGATAGATAGATAGATATGAAGAAATTAAGATAGATAGATAGATAGATATGAAGAAATTTAGATAGATAGATAGATAGATAGATAGATAGATAGATAGATAGATAGATAGATAGATTTTGTGGGATGGACAATTTATATCCCATGCTATTACATGATTTGGACAATTTTGATGTTGCACCCGGTATTTATAACAAAAATAACTTTAGTTTTTATGCCACATTAAAAACACTTAAAACTGACCAAGAGGTAATGTGAGAAAAAGTTTAAGAGTTGAAAATATTTAAAATGTCTTTCTCATTTCTCTCCCAACTGATCTCACTCACCCCACATAATGCCAATTTTATGAGCTGAAAACTCCACACCCACATTCTTACAACCCTGTATTTGCATGCTTCAAATCTCAAAGAATTCATGTTTGAACCCAATGATCCAAAAGAAAGAACTGGAGACCTTGATAAGAATCAGTTGAAAGAGAAAGAGAGATAAAAAAAAAAAAAGAAAGGGTTAAGACAATGGCAGAGAGTGAGAGAACATTGATTGTATAAGACAGGAAATCAGATGAGATGCATTGTGAACGGCAAATCATTTGATTTTAATCAAATAGAAGTAGAATGATTAGGCATGGTTTGAAAAGATGGATGGTTGCTTTTCGGTCTTATGCTCATCCCAGTTTCCTTCCTTCCTTCCTTCCTCCCTTCCTTCCCCCTTCCTTGTTCACCCTCCCTCCCTTCCTTCCTTCCTTCCTTCCTTCCTTCACTTCTTCCCTCCCTTCCTCCCTCCCTCCCTCCCTTCCTCCTCTCCCCTTCCTTCCTTCCTCCTCTCCCTCCCCTCCCTCCCTTTCTTCCCCAACTTCCTCCTCCCCTCCCTCCCCTCCCCTCCCTCCCTTTCTTCCTTCCTCCCTCCCTCCTCCCTTCCTTCCTTCCCTTTTTCCTTCCTTCCTTCCTTCCTTTCCTTCCTTCCTTCCTTTCTTCCTTCCTTCCTTCTTTTCTTCCTCCTTTCTTCCTTCCTTCCCTTCCTTCCTTCCTTCCCTTCCTTCCTCCCTTCCTTCCTTCCTTCCTTCCTCCCTCCTTCCTTCCCCCTCTTCCCTCCTTCCACCCTCCTCCTTCCTTCCTCCTCCTTCCTCCCCTCCTTCCTTCCTTCCTTCCTCCCTCCTCCCCTCCCTTCCTTCTTCCTTCCTTCCAACAAGTAATTCCTTTTTTATTCTTGTTATTGACCACTCCTTCTGTATCAAATATACTGACAATGTTTAGTTTAATATTTATATCTGTCTCATCAAAGAAAAACAAGGAAATTTCTTTGATTCTCATTTGATTCTTTCTTTCTTTCTTTCTTTCTTTCTCTGACATCCCTTCCTTGCTCTAGTTCTATCTTTTTTTGTTTCTTGTTTTCTTTCTTCCTTTCTCTCTTCTTTCTTCCACTTCCTTGCTCCTTTTCTTTCTTTCTTTCTTTCTTTCTTTCTTTCTTTCTTTCTTTCTTTCTTTCTCTGACATTCCTTCCTCGCAGTTCTATCTTTTTTGTTTCTTTCTTTCTTTCTTTCTTTCTTTCTTATTCTGGTTCTATCTTTTTTGTTCTCTTTTTTTCAATTTTCTCTTCATCTCTTTCTTTCTTTTTTGTTTCTTCAATCTTTCTTCCGCCCACACACCCATGCCTATATTCTTTAAAAAAGCAAATGTTATTAATGACAGACATTTTGTGACGATTAATTCTATTGATCGATTTTTCCAAATTACTAATAATCATTCTCAGATAAGGAGGACAACAGAGATTGACGTTTGGAGTTCATTTTGAAGGAAACAGGGGTTCAGGCTTTCAACTTTCTTAAGTCATCATCAGGGTAGACAGAGACAAATGGTGAATGTTGTAGCACGAGTGAGTGTAGTACCATGGGCAAAGAGTACTGTGACATACCCGAGGTGGGACGTGTATGTGTGTGTGCATGTGTGTGTGTGTTTATTTTATTTATTCAATTATTTATTTTCTTTTTTATATACATTTGAGGATACAGTCTCATAATTTTTAATTGTTTTTATCTATAGATGGTTGGTTTTGCTTCATGAGTATTGCTTCGAGGTTCATAAGTCTGTTATTACTATTAGTTTTTACTAGTATTTTGGTATTGTTTCTGAGTAGCTGTCTAATGTTACTATATATATATATATGTGTGTGTGTGTGTGTGTATGTATATATATATATATATATATATATATATATATATAATAAATATAAATATAATAGTGAACATTGAAATCAACACTCAGACACGACAGGCTAGACACAATTGTCAGGCCTGCCTGATGATTGCATCTAGCATGAAACAGACTGTCGCCACTGAGTGTTAACTTCTATGTTCACTTTTATATTTATATTTACATATGCTCTATCTCTGATATTGAGCACTTTATCCCATAAATATAGCACATCTTAAAACTATATTTCTTCATATATATATATATATATATATATATATATATATATAGGTATTAACATGGATAAATAAAATAATTAGATATTAGCAACTGTATATACGTGTGTTAGCATGCATACACAAATAAGGGAATAAATATTTACTTAATTTAAGGTGTAAACAAAACAGTGCTCAATGTGGTTAGACAGAGCTCAGAAATATATATTAATAAATATACATATACCTATGTTCAAAGTGAAACTTAAGTTTCGTTGTTCTACCAACTCATCAGGCACAATTTAATTAAAATAATTAAAATAAAATAATTAAAAGTAATAATTTGTGTTTGATGAGTTGTTAGAACAACGAAACTTAAGTTGCACTTCAAACATAGGTATATGTATATTTATTAATATATATATATATAATATATAGATAGATAAAGAGATATTATTTATTTTAGGATATTAAAACATGTTAAAAATTAGTACACAATTACAGTTACGTTTCAATACCATAAATGTGTCTCTTCAAGTGATGTTAAACTACTAATGAGTGAAAGATTAATTTCAAAAAGCAGAATACATTAAAAATAGACTTGTGTGCTTTGCTGTGATTAACCAATTGAATGTGACCTACACTAAATTCAAATCCACTGGAAAAATTATTTAATATAGGTCATGACATGAAGTTGTCTGCATATAAAACCTCGACAATTTTCTTATGGGCAGATACAGATTGTTACATTATTTCATAAGATGTATCAATGTCTGATGCTCTAACTTCTCAAGAATCTAAAGCAAAAATGATGGGGAGGTAATTTAACATAATGCTAGCCACTTATATGCTCATTCAGCTTCTTACATAAAATTTTGTAGTTGAAAAATAAAAGACTCCTTTAAGAAACTGGAAAAGAACCATTTGAAAAAAAAGGATAAAAAATACAGAACTATTTAGACAAATTAATATGCAACAGTTAAATAAAGAGAATCCATATAAGATATTAATAATACTAACTAATCAATGTAAGATGTTAATAATACCAACCAAACACCTGCATATCCAAATAAGATGTCAATAATACATCAATACAATGTAATATTAAATCAAAATGAAGCTTATAAATATAATAGTAAGCTATATAAGGTGCACAACAGTTCATCAACTGATTATTACTATAAGAAAAAATATTATCACATTCAAAGTTTAAACATATTGTAAGTTAAAAGGCAGGCTATGCCTACAATTTACAGTCAATTCACTTCTTTGATTTAATAAGGAGTTTTATCAAAAAATTTGATAATTTCTAAATTTTCATGTAAACATAGAAAACAGGGTTCGTTTAAAGATCTACATGTTCTAACATTTTTAAAAATTTTCCATTTTACCTTATGAGTTTTATTAGCTTCTTTTAAATTCCCAAAATATTTAGAAAGAGATGCACTATTTTTATAAGTTCTATTAGTGAAGGATAAGACATGTTGATACGAGCTTATCTGAAAAGAATTCTTAGTACTATCAATATAAAATTTTTCAACAATCTATTTAAAATAACAATCTAATGAATTTAAATTAATATAATAATACATTTAAAATAATATTTATTTTCCAACAATCTAATATTCTTAAAATAACAATCTAATATACTTAAAATAATATTTAGCTCTACTATGTATTGAGCCCTCTTTTAAATTAAATGTTATGTACAGGAGAATCATTTGTTCTCATTTTGCCTAGATAGATAAATATTAATGCCATGTCTTTTCAGGAAGTAAGAGAAAATGGCTCTCTATAGATTCCTTTGCTTTATTATCTGTGAATTGCCGTAGCTTCTTGATAAAGATAGTGGAGTGGTTTCTTCATTGCTTTCTCTATGGTTTTGAATTCCCAGTTGTCCTTCTAGATTCTGTAATAGTTAGTAATGTAAAACAAGAAAGAGGCAAGATGGGTTTGGATTCCATTTGCTTTTATCATATTCACTTTTACATAAACATTCTTGAGAAAGGTAAAAATCTGTCTCTTCTTTCCCCAGCTGTGGATTAAATAGCATGGCAAATAGTATTTTTGCTGTGGCTGGCAATTAGTCTAGGAGAAAAACAACTCTGAATTCAAAACTGTATTTAAGATTTCGGAGTTCACAATAACTGTAGTAAGTTTATGAATGAGTTAAGCATGTGATACAATATTGATAGCAGACAGAGAAAGAAAACTGCAGGAAATTCTAGAGGAAATAATAAAGGAAAGTGAGAAGAAAGGACTAAGCATCAATTGTAAGAAAACAGAATGTATGATTGTTAGTAAGAGGCACTGCTAACTAATCATGTCAAAATCAAGCAAGTATGAAAATGTAAATATCTGGGAAGTGTTTAAACAAAGGATTGGAAAATGAAACATCGAATTCTGAAGACACATTGAAATATAAAAAAAAATACCTTCCAGAAGCTAAACAAAACATTAAAAAAATGGGAAGATTTCCTTAGAAACAAAGAAAAGAGTGCTCAACTGGGATGTCATATCAATCTTCCTACAGGCCAGTGAATGCTGGACAATATTAAATACCATAGACTGAAAATTAGAAAATTTTAAGGAAAATGGAAACAAAAAAGAACACTGACTGATACTCAGAATCTGAAAGATCTGAAATTTTGGGACATGTAATGGAAAGAGGACTTGGAGAATTTAGCACTCACAGGCTATATTGTAGACAAGAGGGACATAGGGGAACATTAAGTAACTTTCCTAACAAGCTTATACTAATTGATTACAGAATGGAAAGTGCAGGAATAGGGAAAAAATAAATGTTACTAAGAGCTACAAAAGGACACAGATGTGTGTCTGAAAATTCCGACCTTAAAATCTTTCTCATCATATGCTCAGTTTAGTCAAAAGGCCAACTAATATAAAATAAATATCATCAGTCTTATTAACAATATTTTTATCATTTTGTTGCCTCTTTATTCCTCAAATTTCATCAACTGACCTAATAAATCAACATATTATAAGAAGCATACATAGATTATTATCATATATATATATATATATATATATATATATATATATATATATATATATATATATATACGGGGAAGAGGTTATAGTAGTTGCTAATGCGAGAAAAGTGGAAAAAAGAAGAGAGAAACCACAAAACACTTTTTTTTGTTGTAATGTAGATTTTTAAAAAAATATTATGCTTTAATTTTCATAATTTTGCTATATGCGTTTCTGGTCTTGCGACCTTCATCAGGCAAAGTGTGGAGATTTCCACATATTATTAAAAATAATTAGTTTTCTTCTTATATTTTTCAATGTTAAATATTCTCGATATGAGACATTCTCTTTTTAGTGTGTTAGTGATCCAAAATATATCCGTATATATATATATATATATATATATATATATATATATATATATATACTACTCAGATTTTAGATAATTTAACTTCTAATTTCTTCAGATTTCTTTAAAATATCCAATACTTGATGGCATATAAAATTAGAAACAGTGAAAACTTTAAAAAATCAAAAGGAACTTTCATTGGTTTTAATCAAATATGTATAAATAGGCAGATACGACCACCAAGAAATTAATTTGTGAACTTGAAAGGATTAAACTAAAATGGATAGACATAATATGGCTAAATTATTTAACCAAACCTGTTTGTATGAAAATATGCTGCCTAAATATACATATTTTATATATATATATATATATACATACATACATATATATATATATATATATATATATATATATATATATATATATATATATATCAGCAAATCAGTAGGATTTATGCATCTGAAAATAATTCATATTTATCATTATCTCACTCATTTAAACTGTTATTTAACTCCTCTCTTTAAAACTTTTTTCTGTTAAATTTTAATCCCCACCTTCACCTTTTAGGCCTTCCTGTTCTTCTTTCTTCTGTTACACCCTCTCCTAGATCTTTCTACACATTTCCTCTCACACTTGTTTCCCACTCCCCACACATACACTCTCACTAAAAATTTTGTTTTTTATACCTGGAGTTATATTTTCCAATTTCTTTTTGAGTTTGTAGGTCTGATAAATTGATTGTGATTATGAAATTATAACCATGGAATATTAGTGTCTGAGTCTTTTTTATATATATATATATATATATA